GTATTATCGATCTATTTATATTTTTCTATTTAGATCTACACATACACAGGCCAAACCCACTTAACCCAGAACATGTTTTCATTTTGTATTGTCGTACAGCCTGCAAGCACAACCCAGAGGCTATATCCAACAGCATAACTCAGAGCTCATCCTAAACAAGCTCTACACCCTTAACGTCTCAACGTCTCAAGTCCTAGAAATCTACGAAGCCTTCAACCTTAAAACATAACCCCCTAAAGCCCTAACCCCCCCCCCCCCTCTCCCCCCAACACAAATCTTAAAGCTTCGAACCCCCCCCCCCCCCCGTCCCTAGCTAAACAAAACAATGCCCCAGAAACCTACCAAAGTTTAAACCTTACAGGCACCACTGCACCACTTCAGCAACACTCATTTCGGGCACCTGAACCTTACACTCTGATCGCTGTCCTTCCAGGAAGCCCTTCGCCTTCTGCAAAACATGGTGCCCCTGGGCTGTCGAGCGTAAAAGGATGCAGATATATGCAGAATAGTATGCAGCGCTTTACGGGCTTTTCGGGTTGTTTCTAGCGGCTTTCGGGGCCATGTTAAGGGGTGCTTCTTCATAGCTCTTCCGGCCCATAGTTGTATGGTTCAGGGTTTAGGGTTCGCAGAAAAAACCCGCCACACACAGTGACGGAGGGCCCTCCGGGCACCCTCTATGCCCTGAACCGTGTACCTCACAACAATGGAGAAAGCACTTCAGGCCCTCCCCACACATAACTGAAGTTCAGGGTTTAGAGTTTAGGGTTTCCCCTCCCCACACATAACTGAGGTTTAGGGTTTAGAGTTTAGGGTTTAGGGTGCGCCATGGAAGTCCGAGGCTCAGTGAGCAGCAGCCAAACATCGTCACGTACAACGCAGCGATCAGTGCCTGCGACCCTCGTCCTGGTTCAGGGTTTAAGGCTTAGGGTTTAGGGTTTGGGGTTTGGGGTTTGGGGTTTGGAGGGTTTAGGGTTTGGAGGGTTTAGGGTTCAGGGCTGAGGGCTTAGAAAAAGCTACATGCACTTTAAAAAAAGGGGGCATGCCAAGGACAAGGGGGCACCTAAACCCTAAGCCCCTTCGCTTACGGGTGTGGATTCTTGCTGCGAAGCCCAGCTCCTTTACCATAAATCCTGCTCCTAGATCAAATTCACTAAATGGCATTATATAACCCCCAAAACCGAAACCCGAAACCCTAAAACCCAAAACCGCAACCCTCATGCACTCTTTTTCATTCTCATGCTCTCGGTGCAAAGTCTCAGGAGAAGGCTGCCAAGTGGCAGCAGGCGATTGCGTTGCTGCAGGTAGGCCAGCGCATGCGGTAATGGTATGGGGCCCTTAAATTTTGGCCATTTAGGGCTGCCCCAAACTCTCAACCCTAAACCCTAAAAACCGAAACCCTAAACCCTAAACCCTACACCCTACAACCTAAACCCTAAACCTAAACCCTAAACCCTAAACCCTAAACACTATCTGCGTCCCATGGCAAAAAAGACTCCAGTATGGGCGGAGGGATCCTGATTCTTGCGAAGAATCATCGAACAGCCCCTTGACCTGAAACAAAGTCCGTTTCCCTCTTCCAAGGTTGGGTACTTTTCCTCCCCCGAATAAACCCTGTACAAGTTGATGGATTAAATTAAGAACAGATGTTGTCACGAGTTAGAAGGAATATTTCTGCCCATCAAGTATATATACAACACCAAACTCCGTCAGCATTTTTTTTGGAGGGGGGGGGTAACTCTCATGAGGCAGCACCCTAAATACCCTAAACCCTGCACCCCCCCCATGAGGTAGCTGAGCTCTTTTTACCAGTCGCTGCCAACTCAGATTTCTGGGATTTTGGCGTCATGTTAGGTGGAGCTCAGTGTAGTGCACCCTTCAAAAAGCACTGAACCCGAAATCCTAAACCCTAAGCCCCAAACCCTTCTCCAAACCGGTGACCCCCACATCCGAGCGCCTCCTCCCACCAAACCCCGGAAGCCGGAGGACCTAATCTTGAGCAAGCTGCTCCCCACGGAGATCACCTGCAACGACCCTCGGATGAAGTTACCCCATAGGGTCAGGGTTTAGGGTTTAGGGTTTAGCGTTTAGGGTTTAGGTTTTGTTGGTAGGCCAGTGGTATCTTTTTTGCTCTTTTTGGGCTTGGTTTCCCTTATAAAAAGGTACATACCACCCGAATGGGTGGCAAACACCACCCGAATGGGTGGTAAACACCACCCGAATGGATACCCTTCTTATACTACGGTCACTGGGCGACCAAGCCCCCGTAGGGTCTGAGCTGTCTTGGGGGTTCAGGTAGGGTTTAGGGTTCTAGGGTTTAGGGTTTGGGGTTTAGGGTTTAGGGTTTAGGGTGTAGGGTTTAGGGTTTAGGGCTTAGGGTTTAGGGTTCAGGCTTCAGGATTTATGGTTTGAGTCTCACGGGTTTGCATGCTAGGACTGGCACCATCCCCCACTCGCTCCGAAGCTCCGAAGCAGGGAAGAACGGAAAGAAGCGTAAGTATAAGAGTAAGCCCCCTAAGCAATGCAGGGTTTAGGGTTTAGGGTTTAGGTGTAAGAGTAGATTGCGGTTGGGTATGAGGGTTTAGGTGACGTTCTTTCTCACGATTCACGGATTGATGGGGGCCCCTGGCCCCTGATTTGAACAAACCGCCAGCGTTGACTGAGTTTTTGGAGGGGCCTGAGGTGGTCTAGCTGAGGTTTAGGGTTTAGGGTTTAGGGTTTAGGGTTTAGGGTTTAGGGTTTAGGGTTTAGGGACACTAAACCCAAAACCCTAAGCACTAAATCTTTAACCCGGAGCCCTAAACCCTAAACTTTGCCCAGGGTTCCCACACGCAAGCTCGCTCGCAATCACTGGAAAACCCTAAACCCTAAACCCTAAAGCTGCAAGAACCGAGGCGCTCATCAGTGCCTGTGAGAAGTCGGGCGAGTGGCAGCGGGCGCTGCTGCTGTTCGCTGAGTTCCCGACCAGGTGTCTTAGGGTTTAAGGTTTAGGGTTTCGGGTTTAGGGTTTAGGGTTTAGGGTTAGGGTTTAGGGCGTGCCGTTGCTTGCCTTTATCCGCTTAAGGTTCCCTTATGAAGCCCCTTACATTAAACAAGCCCCCCCCCCCCCGCCTGTTCTTGGCTTGGTTTCGGCAACCGATAGAACCATGTCGGGGCCCAACGGAAATCCTGTTGGGCTTTGTCATGTTGGGACCCTATACTTCAACCCTTTAAATCCTCAGCCCTACACCCAGGAATCCGACATTGCCCTTAACCGTCTAAACTCTGAATGCCAACAATGCCTGCAAACCCTCGAAACGACCCTAAACCCTAAATCCTAAACCCTGAACCCTAAACCCTAAACCCTAAATCCTAAACCCTAAACCCTAAAGCTCTTCCGAAAGGCACCTTCGCCCGAGCGCGATCAGCGTGAACGCCGCCTGCAGTGCGTGCGAGAAGAGGAGCTGCTGGCGTCAGGCGCTCGTCGTTTTCTGTGTGTGTGGGGGGGTACCCTAAACCCTCAACCCTAAACCCTGAGCGCATAAACCCCTAAACCCTAAACCCTAAGCGCATAAACCCCTAAACCCTAAACCAGCGCATAAACCCCTAAACCCTAAAGCCTAAACCCTTAATCTCCACAACCCAGATTCGCCCCCTAGCCGCTCTGCGAGGCCCAGCACTTGCTCTTTGAGGCCGAGCCTCGGTCCGAACTTTGGGGTTTAGGTTTAGGGTTTATAGGGTTTAGAGTTTAGGGTTTTTAGGGTTTATAGGGTTTAGGGTTAGGGTTTAGGGTTTAGGGTTTAGGGTTTGGGGTTTGGGGTTTGGGGTTTGGGGTTTGGGGTTTATGTTTTTAGTGTGCTTCTCGGGCTGCGGTGAGGGTGTGCTGTTCTGATTTTGTTGTTCTCCCGAAGCCCTGAACCCTAAACCCTAAACCCTAACCCCTAAATCCTAAACCCTAAACCCTAAACCCCCACTCCAACAATGTTGTGGCTTGAAAGGGTTCAGGGGTTTAGGGTCTTCAGGTTTTGCCTAAATCAGGTCTTAAGCCTTGATCCTGGCAGCTCCCGGGGGCTCATGGACTAGGGTGTACCTGTGTTTTCCACGTTGTTACTGTAAACATCCTTACAGGCTACCAAGGTAACCTACAAAACAGGTAGGTTTTGGGGGTTGTTAAGGTGGGGCTTAGAGTAGCTTAGGCTTTGGGATCCAGGGTTGGTTTACGGGGTTTGAGGGGTTTAGAGCAGGTTTAGAAGGCTTGCAGGGGTTTAGGGCTTAGCAATCAGGCTGTGTTCCGTGGGGTTGGAAGTGGTTTTGGAGCCTTAGGATATAGGGTTGAAGGTCATGAGGGGAGTGTGGGTCTGCGCTGCTTAGGGTTTGGGGCTTAGGAGTGTAGAGCTTTGTGTTTGGGGGCTTGTAGGGTTTAGGGGGCTTAGGGGGTAAAGGGCTGGCTATATTGGGGCTTCTGTTGCCTCAGGTGACCGTCAAGTTTTCTGCCCCACCTGCAAATTCCCAGAGGTTAATCTTTGATGTGCCCTATGTAGATCAGGTACGTCTGTAGTTGACTCGACTTATACGGAATCTACACCCGAAACCCACTAGACCCTCAACCCTTCTATGATCTAAGCGTAGTTTCATGGTCCCTTCATATGGTCCCTTACCTTCCTTGAAGGGTTTTGAAGTATGGGCCCTTGGATTTTAGGGCATATAAGGGGTATATAGGGGGTCCTCTTTCCAGGGGCCCATATCAAGGGACCAACTAAGGCGCCACCAGATTGGTGCTTGAAAGGGGTCCCATGAGCCTAAACCCTAAACCCTAAACTAAACCCTAAACCCTAAACCCTAAACCCTAAACCCTAAGCCTGAAAGCTTAAGGAGCAACTTGGTCTCCGCCTGGATGTGATCTCCTTCAGTGCCCGGTCCTTCCGAGCAGACTTGTTCTTATCAGGTGGTGGCTGTAGTGGGTTTTGGCGAATGGCCGCCTAAACCCTAAGCCCTAAACCCTAAACCCTAAACCCTAAGCCCTAAGCTCTAAACCCTAAACCTGCGTGTTGTCCATATCTGGCTGTCTTGAAGCTCAAAGACTAAACCCTTAAGCCAGCCGAAAAGTTCAAGATCTACCTCGACCCTAAACCCTGAACCCTAAATACTAGACCCTCACAGAACTGCAGAGAGGGGCAGGAAGGGTGCAGATTTCGTAAGGTCGGCTTCTCAAGCCTTCCACTGTTTTGAGGGGTTCCTGTCCTTGCTTTCGTTTGTTTGAGCCTTCAACGAATGTCTTGAGGAAGATGTTCCGAGGGTTTTGTTGGGTATGGCTTAGGGTTTAGGGTTTACGGTTACGGTTCAGGGTTTAAAGTTCTACCCTAGATAAGGGCTGCGGCCTAGTCATATGAGGATAAAGCCTACTCCTAACCTCCAAGTAGGGAAAACTCGATCCTACACCCCAAGCCCTAAACCCTAAACGGCCTTCCCTAAGCCCTAAACCCCAAACCCCAAACCCTAAACCCTAAACCCGAAACCCCAAAAACCCTAAACCCTAGATCGTCAAAGTTCCTGCGGAAGGCGCCGTCATCAGCGCCTACGAGAAGGCGGCAGCGCCTCGATTCGACATGATGCCTTTGGGAGAAGCCCCTGAACCTGAACTTCCAAGATCCTAGGGTTTAGGGTTTAGGGTTTAGGGTTTAGGTTTGGGGTTTAGGGTTTGGGGTTTAGGGTTTATAGGGTTTGGGGCTAGCGAAGAATAATTGTAAACGCTTGCGCGCCCCGCCTCGGGTCCGGGGTTAGAGCGGGGGTGGGGGGGGTGGGGGGGTGGTGGGGGGGTGGGGGGGGGGGGGTGGGGGGGTGGTGGGGTGGGGGGGGTGGGGGGGGTGGGGGGGTGGGGGGGGGGGGGTGGGGGGGGGGGGGGGGGGGTGGGGGGGGTGGGGGGGGGTGGGGGGGGGGGGTGGAGACCCTTGTTCCCTTGAGCTTCCCTTATCAGCCCCTTTAAGCCAAAAAAGGGCGCCCTTATTCTTCCTAGGTTACTCTTGGACTCTTGGGTCTAGCAATGTAGTTATATGGGCCCTTAGTATGGTACCTTACCCTTGGGGTTACAGGGTATGTAAGGGGGGTACCAGTTTAGGGCGCGCGGTCCCCAAACAAAGCCCTGAGGGGCTGAGTTTACGGTTTTGGGTTTTAGGATTTTAGGGTTTAGGGTACACTCCCCCAAGAAGGTTCCGCGATGAAGCCTGACTGACGTCATAACTTAGCCTTGTTGTAGGTTGGTGGGCGGGGAAACCTGAAGCGACAAGGAGTGGAAGAAAGCCCTGTGCCTCTTCCACGCCCTTGGGGCCAGGCAAATGCCCCCCGTGCCTTCGGCTCCTAGAGTTTGGGCAGGGTTCAGGGTTTAGGGTTCAGAGTTCAGGGTTCAGGGTTTAGGGTTTGGGGTTTAGGGTGTACGGTGTAGGGTGTAGGGTGTAGGGTTTAGGGTTTAGGGTTTAGGGTTCAGGGTTTAGGGTAGGGTTTAGGGTTTGGGGTGTTCAAAGTTCCCTTATAAAGCAACCAACGCAAAGAAGAGGTTCCCTTATGTAAACACAGTTGCTGGGCTACCAAGTCTGGCTTGGGCTTCTACAGGGCTTTACAGGAGCCTAGGGTTTCCAGGATCTGGAGGGTGTTAAGTGCTGAACTGCAACACTCGAAGATCCCAAAACATCAGCACCACCAAGCCAAAAATGTACGAAACCCGCAGCTGTTTCAACCCCTTGGTCCATCCTTCAGGTTCGTGCGTAGCTACTAGTCGGGCTATGACCCAGCTATAGCCGCAGCTACCCTACTTCTAGAAACCCCAGCTCACAGCCGGAACCCCCCCCTATTACAATCCCTATGAAGAGTATTGCGGGGAACAACCCTAAACCCTAAACCCTAAACCCTAAACCCTAAACCCTAAACCCTAAGCCCTAAGCCCTAAGCCCTAAGCCCTAAGCCCTAAGCCCTAACCCTAAACCCTAAACCAGAAGCCAAAGGATGACGTGGCCTACAGCGCCGCCATCAGCGCCTGCGAGCACCTCGGAAAGCAGGAGATTCAAGGAGCGACCCTTAGAAGGGACCCTGTTTTTTGGAGGGCTACTTATAGGTGCATAGTATAGTATATATATATATATATAATTATTGATTTATTTCTTTCCCTTTTTATACACATTTATTGGTTTTTGAGTTTACATTAAAATTATTCGTATGTATATATATATATATGTATATGTGAAATATATAAAGGGACGATGCAGCATATGACAGGATATATGTTATGTATATATCTATATATATATACTAGACACACGTGCGTGCTTCGCACGCACTTAGTGTCTGCACCAGCCCACGATGCGGAGGGCTGGCTGACGCGGCCACGGGTGTTTTTTGGGGTCCCGGTTGGGGCTTAGGCTTGATAAGACGTCGGCTTGCGGGTTCTGGGGTTGGGGTGCAGAAGTGGCGCTTTCAAATCTGGTGGGTTCACGGGGTGAAGGGGGTTGGATGTAAGCTACGGGGTAGGGGGTCCGGGTTTAGGGTTTGGGGCTTAGGCACGGCGCTTCCACGTCTGGCGGGCCCAGGGTGAAGGGGTCGTGAGCTACGGGATGGGTTTTTGCGCTGAGTCTGGGGGGGGGGGGGGGGGGCGGAAAACCACCCCGCGAGGGGGGAGTCTATTTGTTTATATATATATATATATGTATATATATATATATATATGTAGGGGGTTACATAGGGTAGTCGGAAAAACAGGGTCGATTCAGGGCTGCCTCCTGAATCAGGAGGTCCATTCTGTCATGGTTTCCTCTGGGGGTTTAGGGTTTAGTGTTTCGGGTTGTACGGTTATTCGTCTTTTGGGTGCTGGTGTGTGGTGACTACGTCCACGGCTTTGCTGTAGGACTGGAGTGTGCTTTAGGGTCCTTAGGCTGCAGAGTTGTTTAGGGTTTAGGGTTTAGGGGTTGGGCAAGTAGGGTTCACCGTTGAAGGTTCATCGTTTCTTTGTTTCAGGGGGCTTGCTTTACCAGAAGGGCTTTACCAGAAGGTAGAGCTCAGGGTTAGTCACGGTTAGTTGTCATTTCTTAGACCTGTTGTCTACAAGTGTCCTCAATGTAGCACCCGACGCCCTCTCCCCCCCTCCCATCCCCAAACCTTAACCCCTAAAACCCGGCATCCCCAAGCCCTAAACAGCCCGAAGCCCTAAACCCCAAACCCTATCGACCATAGACCTTAGAGCTTAGGGTTTAGGGTTTGGGGTTTTGGGTTTTAGGGTTTAGGGTAAGCCCTGAACCATACGCCCTCTAAGTGCAGCCGAAGGAAGGCCGGCCATTGGCGACAAGCCCTGGTGCTGCTGTCAGAGATGTCCGAGAGAGAGGTCGCGGCCAGCGTGCGGCTTGGAAGAAAGAGGGTTAGGGTTAAGGGGTTTGTAAGGTCTAGAGTTTAGGGGGAGGTTTTAGAGTTTAAGGGTTAGGGTTTTTGTTAGGGTTTTGGGTTTTGAATTTGGGGTTTTCAGGCATCAGGGCTTGCTGTAGCTAGGGTTTAGGCTCTACATAGGGCTGTATAGGGCTTGTAGGATTTAAGGCTTAGGGTTTGCCCCAACCCTGAAGCCAGTCCCTACAAACCGTAAGCCCTATACCCTGAATTCCATAAACCCTGACCCTGAACCCTAAACCCTAAAGCCTAAAGCCTAACCCCCTAACCCTGAACCCTAAACCCCAAAACACCTAACCCAAACCCCATTTTCCCTGAACCCCACATACCCTAAACCCTACACCCGAAATCCAGGATCGCCTACAACGCGGCCCTCAGCGCTTGCGACGCCGGGTCGCAGTGGCTTCACGCTTTGGAGCTCTTCCACGATCTCAGCCTCCAAAGGTGTGGGTTCAGGGTTTGGGGTTTAGGGTTTAGGTTTAAGGGATTGGGGTTCGGTGAGACTGTGTGGCAGGATTTCGCTGCATGATCGCCATGTGGAGAATACGTACTTCACTGGCGGAGCCAAAAGATGGATACCTTGTACCACGGGCATGTCTGCAAAATTTCCTGGGCCCTAAACCCTAAACCCGAAACTGCTTACTTGGGTATTTCAATGCTACAGGGTCTCTGGGATTCTACCTCAGACCCTAAACCCTGAACCACCTCAAAATTCTGTCTGTCGCTAAGCCCTAAACCCTGGGGAGAAGGAGGAGCATACACCGAGACTTTATACAATTGAGCCCATACGCCTCCCAACTGCGGTCTAGGGTCTGGAGTTTTTAGGGTTTAGGGTTTAGGGTTTATAAATAGGGTTTAGGGTTTAGGGCTAGGGTTTAGGGTTTAGGGCTAGGGTTGAGGGCTCCTGGTTGCCAGGCAGAGTCCGGTTGTCATCACCTACAACGCGCTCCTCAGCGCCTTCGCGTCTGCGCGGCAGTGGCAGCTGGCGCTGCAGCTCCTGGGCGTCGATTCGTTGTTCGGATTTTTAGGGTTTAGGGTTTAGGGTTCGGGTTTAGGGTTTAGGGTTTAGGGTTTAGGGTTTAGTCCCTTTTGGGCTTCAGAAAATATATCTGGTACAGGGTGTATCAAGTTTCAAGTTTAGGGCGTAGGGTTTAGGATTCATGGTCTCTCAAGAGTAGTCTTTCGTGCCCTACTCTAGCTTTGGTATAGGCAGATTCTTGCAATGTCTCTACTTCCTTTCTTGCTATTGTTTAAGAGTCGTTTTCTTACACAACACAAACCGGGCCCTAGATTGTATAACCCTAAACCCTAAGCCCTAAACCCTAAACCCTACACCCTAAACCCTAAACCCTAAACCCTGAACCCTGAACCCTAAACCCTAAACCCTAAACCCCGGAGGCTTCTGCAGCAGGCAGCAGGGCATCGAGTGGAGCCGGATGCGATCAGCCACGCTTTCGCCCTGCTGGCGGCCGAGGGCCACAGCATGCCGAAGGTCGGCTTGGGGGTGGGATCTGAGGGTTACCCTAAACCCTAAACCCTAAACCCTAAACCCTAAACCCCTAACCCTAAACCCGAAACCCCAAACCCGAAACGCGAAACCCTAAACCCTAAACCCTAAACCCTAAACCCTAAACCCTGACCCCCCCCCCCCTCTACCCCCTAGCAAGGAGACGCTCGGTCTGATGCCCTCCTTGACGGCTGCCGGCCTTGCCTGCTGCCGCCGGTGCTGAGAGGTCGTCTTGGAGGTTCAGTTCTGAGGTTCGAAGCCCTGTACTAGACGTAGTGTTTAGGGTTTAGGGTTTGGGGTTTAGGGTTTAGGGTTTAGGGCTACTACTTGCTTAAGAACCCCCCCCACAACAAAATCAAGCATTCTTCCTTGCAAGGGCTATATGGGGATTCTTGTGTTTTTAAATATATTTTGGGGGGTTCTCAAGCAGATGGTAGGAACTCTAAACCCTGCAGCCACACATGGTTGCAAGTCAAAACCCTGCGTGGGTTTCTTACAACACTACTTGTCACTGCCTATGTAAACCTCCAAGTAGCCCAGCCCTAAACCCCTGAACCCTGAACCCTGAACCCTAAACCCTAACCCCTGCCAATGTGGCGTTGGTTGCAAGCCACAGAGGTGGACGCTGGCGTGTGGAACACAGAAAATTAAAATGATGCGTGCATTGTGGGGGAGAGGGGTCAGGCTCCAGTGCATAATGTTGGGTTCAAGCCCCAAAATCCGTTGTAAAGTAAGGCCTTTGGGCCCAAGAACCTCGAAAAGGACTCCTTGGAGCCTTAGTGTTAGGGTCTAGGGAACACCTTGCAGGGTTTAAGGCATATGGTTTCGGGTTTCAGGGTTCAGGGTTCAGGGTTTAGGGTTTAGGATTTAGGGTCTAGGGTCTAGGGTTTAGGGCGTATGTTGATGTTGTGTTTCGGCTTTGGGGCTTGATACCTGCGTGAGAAACCCTCAAACTGGTGATCCCTGTTTGAGGTTTGTTAAAAAAGGTCCTTTAAACAGGCTGGACCATTGGAAACATGAGTCCAAAACAAAGGAATCTTTACTGAAAGGGGTACTTTTTTTATGGTCGTGTTGGGGGTTGGGTATAGTAGGATTTAGGTAGAGGAGTTTTTTCGTTATGGCTTTTGGTGAATGTACACGGGATTCACTATAACGTCGGGTGTCCTCCGGGTGATACAAACAATAAGGAATCCTCTGCTTCACACCCCAAACCCTTAAACTCAACCCGGAACCCTGAGACCCACGTCCGAAACCCTGAGTCCTAACCCTAAGCCCTAAACCCTAAGCTCGAATCCTAAACCCTAAACCCATCCAACTTGCTCAAGGTCCCCCTAAAGCCCTGCAAACCTTAATCCCAAGCCCGCGAACCCTGAATTGTTTCAGGCCTCAACCCTGAGACTGAACCCCAAACCCCCACACCCTGAACCTGAACACCAAGCCCGTACCAAAACCGTTAAACCTGTAGGACCCCAACCTTGAAACCCTGCCTCATACAAATCCCCTGGCAAACCGTATTTTTTTGAGGTGATAGGCCCAACCCTAATCCCTAAACCCGATCTTTGTAGTCTTGAAGCTCCGGATAGCCTCTGGAAAGCCTACAGCCGAAGCCCCTAAACCCTACGAACCCTAAGACTTAGTCCAAGCCTAAACCCCCAAACCCTCAATTTCAATCTTCCTGTTCCTAAGCCACTGACCCCTGTCAGGGTATCGAAGCCGGAAGTAGCTCCCTAAGCCCAAACCCTAAACCCCAAACCCTAAACCCTAAACCCGAAACCCTAAACGAAACTGCACATTTCTTTTTGCGCTCTTGGAGGCCAATCGACTCCGACGCATGGAGGGTGATCTGGCAGCTTTTGGGAGGGTGGGCTAGGGTTTAGGGTTTAGGGTGTAGGATTTAGGGTTTAGGGTTTAGGGTTAAGGGTTTAGGGTTTCTGGGGGGCTTAGGGTTTAGGGGCATGATTGAATCTTCCGATCTAGAACATCGGAAGCCCAAGCGCGAAGCCCCACGTGGCCAGCGGAGCGCCACCTCCCTTCCCAGCTGCAACAAGTTTAGGTGTTTAGGTTTTATGGTTTGGGGCCCCATACCTGCAACCCTCAACGCTAGAAACTAGTAGGATTTGAAGCCTCAAAGTGCATGGGACGGCCCCACGAAATATGTAACAGGTAATGATGTCTAAATGTTTTTAAGCGGGGAAGGGCACCCCCCCCCCCCCCTGCCCCCCAATCTGTCAGTGAGCTTCGGTTATTTGTTTTTTGCGTTTTCGGGTCTCGGATCGTTAGCCGGGCGAAGAGGCTATCGAGGCCTCCAGACGTGCATCGCAATTCGGCAAATGAGGCTTGGAAGCAAAACGTCTGAGCCCTCGGCCCTCAGACCCCTACGTATCCACAAGCCCTGAGCCCCTAAACCCTTCACCCTAAACCCTAAACCCCAAACCCTATAAACCCCAAACCCTATGAACCCTAAACCCTCACAGCCTCCCAAACAGACGCATCCACCCGAAATCGGCGCAATCGGCCCAAGCGCCCAGGTGACGCCGCGTTCGCCGCGCGAGCTGCGGAGGCGAGATTGGCGCACCCAAGCCCAGAACCCCAATGGGTTTAGGGTTTAGGGTTTAGGGTTTAGGGTTCAGGGTGTTCGGGCCCTTAACGACACCAAATGCGTTGAGCACGTGGACTTTAAAGTTCGGGGCTCTGGCTGCGGATTGCAGGTTTTGGGGTGATCAGGCTGCCCAAAACCCTACAAACCCTAAACGCAATTGAGAGCTTCAGGATTTTAGGGTTTAGGATTTAGACTTTCGGGTTCAGGATTTAGGGTATAGGGTTGAGATTTCGAAGCTCGTTCCCTTTCTCTTCACTTCCTCCTGACATTTCAGGGCCTGAGAGGGGTTTAGGGTTGAGGGGTTGGAGCTTAAGGTACGTAACCTTGAACCTTTCTTCGGCAGTAGAAGCAAGATTAAACCCTAAACCCTAAACCCTAAACCCTAAACCCTAAACCCTAAACCCTAAACCCTAAACCCTAAACCCTAAACCCTAAACCCTACATCGCCCTCGACCCTAGAGGAAATGGTAGTTGACACCTTTAACGGGTTCTGAAGTGTGGACGCCTGGGTTGTCTAAGGTATATGAGGGGGAGAAAAGGGGTCCCCATTTAAGGGCCCATACTAAGGGACCAGTTAACTACGCTGTGACTAGGCATTTCATCACGTACATCATCGGCAGAAGCACTTCGTGTTTTCCTTTGCTACGCAGCAAGCAAGCAGCAACATGTCGGTGGCTTGGACGTTTCGACAGCCTTTCTCTATGCGCACTGCCGGAAGGCGTGACGAACAGGGATGGCCAGAAGGGCTACCTGAAGCACAGGAAAGCCTTGTATGGACTACGCATAGCAGCGCAGCAGTGGCAACGACACTTGACAAAGAAGTTGAAAGTCTTGCTTGGTTTGGAGCCGTGCGCGACACGTGCCGGACAAGTCACGGGAGGCGCGTTTTGGTCCTCTCTTACGTGGATGACCTGCTGGTGACCGGAGAAGACTATGCTTCTATCACGTCGGTTGTTGATGCATTGACTGAGCTTAACAGAGATGGCAAGCTCACCTTCTTAGGAAGGAAGTTCGAGATCACAGTCCTTATGGAGCTTTTCACTGGGTTAGAAGTTAGAACTACACTTAGAACTATAACTGGGTGACAAGTATATTAACCTCCAAGTACGGGGTTGCTTTGTGGGACTGCAACAAGCCAACTTGTTGACTTGGGCACCAAATTAACCTTTACATTGAGGTCATATACCCCCCCCTAAACTCTACAACCCCAAAAACCCAAACTCCCTACAAACCCTACAAACCCTACAAACCCTACGAACCCTACAAACCCTACAAACCCTAAAACCCTACAGCCCCAAAACCCTAAAAACCCTACAAACCCTACAAATCTGTCAGTTTCCAGAGAGGGAAGCGTTTCTATATGCTCGGAGATGCATCAGAGTTTCAGGGCTCACGGTTGAGGCTTACTTATTTGGGTTTCGGGCTCAGCGCTCTAAACCCCAAACCCCAAACCCTAAACCCTAAACCCTAAACCCTAAACCCTAAACCCTAAACCCACAGTGTTAATGCGGTAGTTTTAAGGGTGTGATATGGTAGCAGCTAGAAAAGTGTAGGTAGCCTCAGGCGCACGCAAGAGGGGATGTCGAGTTGCTGCGGAGCATGGTTGAGGAGGCGGAGCAGAGTGGCAAGGCAGGGGGCCTAACTCATACCCTAAACCCCATACGTGGGCCCGCAAACACTAAGAATGTTTCAGGGTTTCAAAGTTTTTAGGGTTTTTAGGGTTTTAGGGTTATGGGGTTTTCGGGTTAAGTCTCAACCCTACCGTAAGTATGCTTCGTTTATTGGATGTACCGCTTTCCCCGCGTTCAAACAACATATTTCCCGCATTTACTGGTACCACATGTTGAGTCTGGTTTAGTCCTGAGCCTCAAGCACAGTCTTGTGGGGCGTTAGAGGTTACATGGTTTATAGGGGTTTGGTGGTTTAGGGGTTTAGGGAACACATTGTTAAGGCATGTTCCCCTTCTGCCAAGGGTGTATTAGGTGTCCTAAGTAAGTGTTGCTCAATCCGAAACCAAGCCTGAGACTGGGGATTTCCCCTATTGGAATCCCAATTACGGACTGTTAGTATGAGTTGGGAACACCCCAAACCCTAAACCCTAAACCCTAAACCCTAAACCCTAAACCCTAAACCCTAAACCCTAAACCCTAAACCCTCAGGATCCGTCAGCCGCAATGGCAGCGATGGCGGACCTCACCGGCGAGGGAGCGGCGCCGGAGGAGGACGTTCCTGGGTCTCTGGGAGTTTGAGAGGTTCGGAGCATCCTAAACCCTAAACCCTGAACCTTGGGTTCAAGTTTAGGGCTTATACGGCTCATAGGGTTGAGAGGGTCTAAGGGTTTAGGGTTTCTAGGGTTTCGGACGTTAACTGATTCCGAGACCCCGGAAATTAGCCGGATATACCTCCTAGTCTTTGGGCATTGGACATCGCACCCCCCCCCCCCCCCCCCCCCAAAAAAAGCAGGCAAACAGAGCCCAGGAGGGATCTAGGGTTCAGGGTTTAGTGTCAAGGGCCTGAGGAGGTAGGGCTTGGAGCTTTTGGTTTCGAGCGTAAGGAAGTTTGTCGGGTGAGGACGCAGAGAGATTGTAAGCCCAACAATCCCAAAAGCCCGAATGCTCTAAACC